ACTAAAATGAGAGAATTGGAAAAAGAAGTCAGGACTTCACAAGATACAAAGGAGAGCAGTGCTATGGACTGCAAGATAACGTAAAGCAGTTGTAGCACATACTGCTAATAAAAGAAGGGACAAATAGTAAGGTTTTGATTTCCCAAGTTTTTGCTCTCACCATAAAATGGTCATGGGATCCCAAGAAATGGAATGGAAATACTCAGACTGAATCCTCAGACTCTGAGATTGAGTTTGAACTTGATCTTCACTTAAAAGATAGAGAAGGTGGGAGAAGCAAGACCCCCCCCCTCATACAAATGATGGAGTAGCAAGAACAAGCAGATTGGGGGGGGCAGGGAGCGGTGCAGATCACACGTACTTAGACTCCAAAAGAGTAAAAGAGTTAAGGGAATTTTTAGAACTCAGCAAAAGAGTGGAGAAGGTATACCAGCATGGATTTTGCAAGTTTGGGATAGCAGCGCTGTAGCCATTATTAGTGGATGAAAAACATTTAATTAAGCCTGTAGTCAATGCTGATCAGATACAATGAGGATATGCTCAGTTACAAAACAGAGGTCCTGATGAGTGAGGTCTTATTACACCTGTGCTGTCTCAGTGGTTGTGCACAGCAGTTTTAACAGCATATACAGAACTTGACAAATTAGTGTTGTCCCTCAGGAACTGGTGTACAATGGAAGAAGGTATTAATTTGGTCCAGCACATGGGGATGGCCCGTGCATTGGTTAGGGGATCCAATCCGGACGATCAAAATTCAGTTTTTGAGAGGAGCGCCTGCCTCACTAAAACCCTCGATTACACCAGCAGTGACAATTGCTACAGGTAATACAGGCACCCTAGCAGACACCTTAAGGGAAACTGGGGCTGTAATTTTGGGACCATTTGAATAAAGGAAAGCTGGCAAAGCCAGAAGGAGTTACAGCAAGGGTGCCAAGAAAACAAATGTGCAATGATCTTTATGAGCTGGTATCCCACAGTCAGAAATAGATGGGATCACAACAGAAATGTTTCACCAATGGCAGAAGTTAGTGTTTACGCAAAAAAAAGCTGACCATCCCTAGTCCCACCACCAACTCTGCGCCCACCCTTCGCTCCACCTGCCAAATGACAAAACAGCAGAAACTAAGGTTTGGCACGTTCCCCAAAATTGCTGCCACTGTAGCCTCTAACCATGAGGGGAACAAACATCCTTGTGTTCATTTAACTATGGAGTGGCAGTCTGGGGGGATTTTATATGTATTGGTTCTGGTGGATACTGAAGCTGAGGTTACAGTATTGCATAGTAATACCGATACTAAGCTAAGGTTACCTTAACAATAGGAAATGCTACGCCATTCACTGCAAGGTTATTAATTGCCCCAATTAAAGAATATATCTTGTGTATTGATGTGTTGGCAGGACGAACAGTTAAAAAGTTAAATGGTTGCTTCTGCTTCAGAACTTCACAAGCGGGCTTTGCTGTTCAATCTGTAACCTTCTTGCATGGATACCCAAAGGGGGATCCTCTTGTGCTGCCCGTGCCTGCCAAGGTGGTAGCTGTAAAACAATACTGTATTCCAGGGGAGGAGAAGGAAATTAGTCAAATCATTCAGGCACTTCAACAAATGGGAATTGTTACGGAATCGATAACTGCTTTTAATAACCCTATTTGGCTTGTTTGAAAATCAGACAGCACTTGAAGAATGACTGCAGATTATAGAGAACTGAATAAAAGCACCCCACACACACTTGCAATTAAGGTACCGGACAAGATTACACTTAAAGAAAAAATTAGCAAAAATTTACAGCCCTGAAAAGTTGTGATAGATCTTGCTAATGCTTTCTCTTTGATAGCTATTGCTTTAGAAGACCAGTTTGCCTTTACCTGGCAAAAAAAAGCAATATACTTTCAAAGTATTGCCTCAGGGACACAAACAGTCCCTCCATTTGCCACCAAATGACACCAGCTGATGTAGCACTCTAGTCAGGTACTGTTACTGCTTACCATTGTATTGATGATCTACTGATGTCAGTCACAAGAAACTGGAGCCACTGATGGATCGCTGAAAGCACATTTACAGGACTAAGGCTGGGCAATTAATCCAAAGCAAATACAGGGCTCTGGTACTACTGTACAATTTTTGGGAATAATTTGGCATGGACAGATTAGAGAAATACCAAATAAGGTATAGCAAACAGTCCAGCAATGTCCTGCACCAATCACAGTAAAACAGTTAACAGACCTTTTGGGGACTTGCGAGGTATTAGAGAACTTCTATCCCACCTCCGGCAGTATTAACGGGCCTTCTGCAGAAATTAACTGGGAAGAAAGTTGTTCTAGCAGTAGACCGAGGAACAAGAAGCCTTTCATGCCTGCAAGAATGTGTTAATTGAGCATGTGTGATTACATGCTCCTAGGCAAGGATATCCTTTTGAATGAGAAGTAACAATTCTAGATTATATATATAGTCTTGTGGGGATTGTGGCAGATGATTGGGCTGAAAAATCAGAGCAAACCTGCAAGATTCTCGTCCAAGACATTACAAGGCTCTACTATATCTTATATCCTGATGGAAAAACAAATTTTAGCTGTAGTTTTGGGCACTACAAGAAACTGAAAGAATCACAGGCCAAGATAGTGTGACTGTACACATATCCATACCTATTCATGGGTGGGTTACTGATCATTCCGTTAGGGCCCTTTCCCCTTTTTCTTTCTCCCAGTGTGTAGCCAGACATACTAAGGGCTTGAAAAGATACCATTACATTTGAGGTGGGATGGGAGTATTCCATAATCCTGCTTAGTTCCACAATGCTGACTGATGTAAACTTTTTATCCTTCTGTAGTACAGGTCCACTAGAGACAGCCATGGTGCTTGATAAACTGGTGCCAGAAAAAGGTATGGCACCTTTGGCAGCAACTGGTATTGTCTTCCTTTTTGCAAGAAACCTTCATAGCAGCAAAAGAGACAAGTGCACATAACTGATTAGCTGCTTTTGTTTCCTGCCTTTTCATGTCTTGAACACAGCTGGAGTGGTTCAAAAGTAGTAGGACTGAACACATACATCATAAGTATTTTAGAATTAATTACTGTAGATCTCCTGCCAATGAGCTACTTCCGATTTCTAAACCTGCCATGCTACATCCTCATTCTCCACCCCTAGAAACACCACAATAAAACATCTCTGTAGCTTCTACTGCAACCCTCATCCCTGCCTGCATGTGCCCAATACTGTTTTCACCAGAACAAAATGTTAGTACCTAACCCTTCATGATATGAACATTCATTTTGCTCATGTGAAAAAAAAAATCCTCAGAAAATTAATAGCAGGAATGAGTTACCAGAAAACCACTTTCTGCCCAGGCCTTAATCTAACTGTACATTGCACACTTCTGTTCTACCAAAAAAGTTGTTGACTGCCTCTTCTACAGAGGCCTACCACCAGCAAACAATTTTCTTGCTCTAACTCCGGTTCTCCATATGTCCCAGACACATGGTTACATGTTCATGATGGTCCCTGCCAGAGTGACGTTTACTCTATTTCTTTTGCTGATTTAACAGCTAGTTGTTACTTTCAGCATCTTCTGGACCTACTTACATTTTGGCAGGGAACTGAGAAGTGCACTGCAACCTTTGCTCCTTCTCTTCAGAGGAGCTATCCATCTCCTGTGGAAAAAGAGATGGAGAGCCAGAGAATATTCTTGCTTTCTGGGAACATCCCTTCCTGTCTCCCATTTTGTATGGCTTCTTAACAGCAAACAAGGTTTCTGGCTTAAAAAAAAAAAAAAATAAAAAAAATCACATTTCTGGTTTTATATGTGCAAAAATTAGGAGAAAGTCTGGTAGGAAAACACCTTGAAGTCTCTAGGTATTCAAAAAATAAGACAATGAAAAAATGTCCATGCAGATTGCAAAGTTATTCAGTGGCCAGCTCTGAGTTTAGGGCACGTTCATGTATTTGTTCATACTCAGCTGTGGAATAGCACCGTTCCTTTGCAAAGAACTCATAACACACATAGCTGCAGTCAATGGGCTCTGTTCCTGAGGTACCTCTACCTGATTCTTCATGGGGGCACTAGGTTTAGATGAAGTGGGAAATCCTTCAGCTTCATTCTTCCTTCCATGGGGACTCTGCTGTGATTGGAGATGCCTCCTGTTTCCATTATCTCTCTTGCTCAGTTGTCAAAAAGCTTTACACCCAGAGATGCCAGGATCTTAAAGGTACTTCCAGCCCTTTTGAAGAAGCCAGCAGACAGAATACTTTTCAAGTCGAGACTAACTGAATCCACTTAGTTTTAGCCAACAGCTGGTAAAATGTAAAATCTAAACCCTTGCCTCCAAATAACCTATACTGTGGAGCTGAGAATTCAGATACATGTGTAAATTTAACAATGCTACTGGTTATTGACTGTGCACCCAAGCGCATATTTGGATCAGTTGCTGGAAAAGTGACAGTTAAACAGTACAGTGATTTTGATGCCTGAGCTCACTGGCAATGCCCACAGACCAAACAGACTGGGCAGGGGATGGGTGTTAAAAGTTTCCTGACTTGCTAGAGTTCTGTACCACAGACACATAAACTCCTTCTGTTGCACAGTGTCATCAGCAAGTATTGCCACTCGTACTGGCTACTCCCAGTTGTGTAACAAGTCACAGAGCACCTGGAAGCTGCTTTCACATCAATAATGTGCTCTATCTGACAGAGGCACTTCTTCCTCGGCTAGCTTGAAGACAAGTGCTTTGTCTTCAAATGACATCTTTTACTATTACCTTGATTTTTATTTTTTTTTTAATTCTTGTTGTCTTCTTTTGAATTAGATGACATTCACCTTTAAGATTAATTCAACTTCAGAATAATCTGTTTAGTTAGCAAGCTTGGCAGCTTTAGAATAGGGGCATCAGCATATGGCCATCACTTCATTACAACTGATCCCTGATCTCTGTTGAAGCCTCTGATCACTGGTAAGAGAGAAAGCAACTACTGCAGTCTGTATGCTAAAACCAACCCAAATACAAATGGAAGTTCCAAAGACTTTTATTGTAGCCCTTTATGGCTGAGCTGCCCTCTAGAGCAATGGACTATGCATCATCCCAAAGACAACACGGGACGGAGGGAATCACAAACCCAGGAGAACACGTTCATTTGACAAGATCCTTCACATACTTCCAGCCTTCCACAGTGTATTCACAGGCCCTGGCGGGAGCTACAGACAAGGCAGACATGACTGTCTGCACTCCTGCAAGGAAAGCAGAGAAGAATTATCCCATGAGCATCATTCAAGCCAAATTTCCTAATGTTATTCTAGCACTGTAGATCTCTTCAAACACGGAGAGGAAAATCTAGCTCTGTCTCAGAAGCTTTCAAACACACTTAGGCCTGAATGACCTTTGGTTCCAGTACAGGTTTGCCTCTGTAGCACCGGTGACACAGAGAAACTCCAAGTTCAGGACCAGTATAAAGGATAGACAATTACAAGACTGAAACAAAGAAATAAGTTCCATTTTATTTCTGGTCTTTCCACAGATTCCATGGGTGATGGACATGTCACAATATTTGTGAATCATGTTTCCTCACAATTACATGAATACCTTTTGCCGCACCATAAAAACTGTAAATTAACTTACTAGATATTTGTAACATGCTTTGGCCTTCAAACAAGATCTCTAAAATTCTCATAATTATGGAAATATTCATCCCTTCTGAAAAGTCAGAGGCATACCAGCATCTGAACTATATATAAACTCTTCAATCTTTAATCAGACGTTCACCTTTCTTAAGAGTAAGTCATCATTTATTTTTATGCTCTAGTTTACCTGATCACTACCAGTGCTGATGAACTCACTGGGACATAAACTCTATTTATTGTGGGGGCCACAGTCATCCCCAAACACTTCACTGAAACATTCAATCTTAGATCTAGGATAACGAAGGCATCTTTGTCTTGGGGCACAGGTTGGCAGCAAGCTTTGTAGGTAAAAGAAACACCAGCTCCTCTGGTTAGAAAAGGCAGACAGGTTTATGGGCACACATCCTCCTCCTGATTTCACACTTGGAACAAGAAGAAATTAAGTCCAAAGTCCCTCAGTGTGCTAGTGGTAAAGCCTGGAGCAGAATATGCTTCCCTAGTCCCAGTCCTAATGCTCTTTCCACCAGACTGGTGACAGGTATCACCTCCTTCTCCGCCATTCAATTTAGGAGGACAGTATTGAAGCAAAACTGGTATAATATACCTTACTCTTGGCCCCTTACTCCTTTCATAGTTTGGTGAAAAGTTATTTTACCTTTATTCCAGGCATCAGAGGGGGAAAAGTCAAATTTTGGAGTGGGTGGGAGCTAAAAAGAGAAAGAGAGACAAAGTATCAGCACTTGAGGGGTTTCGCTTGGAGAAGCCTCTTCACCTCTTAGGTGCCAACTCTCTGTAAGTCTCAAAAGGAATCAGACATGAGGCTTAAAGTCTGGACTTTGCTCTTTCCTCCAGTATGACAAAAGGTAGTACTTATCATTTGAGTGCTCCTGAAGAATCATCTCCATGGCTGCCTCCTTACAGTTATCTATTAGTTTAGGATAGTCTCTAATATGAAAAATGCTTTTCAAGCTTTCAACCAAGGCTTCTTCTGATGATTTTAAAAACTAAGAATTACCAGAGAAGAGCCTCTTCAGGCAATTTAAATTCAACTTGACAAACTGTTAGCAGCTTGAGAAATTGAGAGGGGAATCTTTTAATTCATTTTTTTTAAAGTATGGAGGATCCTTCAAAAGAAGCTTAGGAATACCACTACATAGTGAAATTATCTCCCAGGACATGCTTGCAATCCCCTCCTTGACCCTGCAAAGGCTAGTTAACCCTTATGCTTTGAAATAACATCTGTGAGCAATGTCTCCCCTTAAATTTAAAATTTTATCCTCCTTCCATTTCAATGCTCTTCAAAATATTCTCAGTGTGAAATCCAGTTTCAACAGCAAAACTGCCAGCATCACTGGAACCAGAGTATCACCCCAATGTCTTCTGCTCCTCATTCAGAGATTGCATTTGTTTTGCTGATTGTCTTCATCTGCACAGTCCTTACCTCCCAGCCTACGTAACTTGTCCACTCTTGGATAGCTGGAGGCAGTGCTGCTTGAGCTTTTTTAAGGGCTTCAGCACCTTCTGTGCCACTGCCCAGCAGCCCCTGATCATATGCCACATACACAGCAACTCCAGCCAGGCCTCCTTTGATGACAAACCTGAAAGAGTCAAAAGCACCAACAGTTTAGTTCACATTATGACTATCAATGTATCTCTCTCGGAAGGTTGTGACCATCAAAGGGAGGGTATCGATAAAGAAATCTGAGGGTCACAAACACTTTACTGTGCATCAGAAAAAATACCTAGCTACCCTCCTTTTCTTTCTAGGTCAACTATTGCCAGTCAGCTGCTTGAAACCATACGGATTTACATTTTATCAGTGATAGTCTTCAAGAAAAAATGAGAAAGTGTGAAACACCTCAGAGTATGTGCCACTTTTTAAAGTCTGAGAATCACTGGCATATACCTTTGATAAAAGAAACTAAAGGATTCTGCAGTGGGTAAGACACCCATGTAAATAATGTGGCTCTTGCTGTCTTGTTAATAAGCAATCTGACTGACAGACACTAGTATCTTGTTAAGCTCATTACAGTCCAGTTAGCACCTGGTCATGCCTGTTCCTGCACTGACTAATCTTTTAGTTTCCCAGTAGACTGCATGGTGTGCAAACACTAGTTCTACAGCTGTAGTGGCACCCTTCAAAAAGAAAGACATGAAAAGAATATTTGACCTTTATTTGCTTTTTCATTTTCTGGGCAGGCTGACTTTTTCAAATTCACAGGTCAGAGAGCTGTTTTCCCTTTAAAAAACAAACAAAAAGCTATTGCGCACCTAGGGGAAAAAAAAAAAAAAAAGCAACCAAATAAAAACTTGGCAGATAGCAGCACTGCAGGAGAACATATGATACATCCACCCGTTCAGAGGGGCAAGAGAGAATCGGTATTTAAACCCATCTAGTCACGAGAGTTTTTGGGAAAAGGGATTTATCTGTACTTGCTTCCCAAAGCACCTTCTCCCTTCGGCTGAGCCGCATATCCACACCTGACAGCGCTCCCTCAGCAAACAAGCGCCCGTGGGCGGCACTCCCGGTTTACGTTACGAGTAATCCGCCAGACTCCTGCCAGACACCTGGAGACGCACGAAGAAGCCGCCGGGTGGAGGCCCGGAGCGGCAGAGGGGCAGACGCGGTCAAGGGCGCGGCGCTGCGAGGAAGCCGGCCCGGGGAGCCG